AAGGATTGGAGAAATTTACTGAGGGTTGGGAGCATGTCTAATTTGGCTAAAATAAAGCTGGAAGTAGCTGGGATAGCTGTGATGGACTCAGGGTCGGTGAAATATGCTGATTTTTAAGGCCATGATTGGGATTGTGTCTAATTTTGCTAAAATAAAGCTGGAAGTAGCTGGGATGGCTGTGTGAGCAGGGAATGGGCTGATGGGCATGGATGCCTGGGCCTGGCTCTGCTCTGGGCTCACCCATGGGAATTATTTGACTTTAAACTCTGGAATGGCTGGATTTTAAACACTGGAATTGCTCTGGCATCCCTCCACTGCTCATGGGCTCAAGGTTGGTAAAATATGCTGATTTTTAAGACCAAAATTGCAGACATTCACAGGAGGATGGGATCTTGTCTAATTTGGCTGAAATAAAGCTGGAAGTAGCTGGGATAGCTGTGATGCACTGCTGATGGACTCAGGGTTGGTAAAATATGCTGATTTTTAAGACAAACTGGAGTCCAGGGATGGCAGAGCTGTTTGGACAGCTGGGTTTGTTTGTAGTATATATTTTAAGTTCTTTTTCCAGCTTGGTCAGAAATCCTGCTTTGTGATTTGGATCCTTATGTTTAACTTGAGGGATGCATCTCTGAACTTGGCCAGAGTGTGGGGAATGTTTGAGCTCCTGGACTTCAGTGAAATATGATTTTCTTCTCACATTCACCTTGTGATTGCCCCTTCAGATAAAATATTTAATAGCAAAACAAGAATCATCATCATCATGATAATAACAACAACAATTTTTCCATAGAATATTATTTTGTAAGTGACGCTCTAAACTAAATTACTTCACAACATGAAATAGATGAATATAAATAATAAATGAATATAAATAATCTTACAATTGTCTGCCAAATCTGTAGGATTTGCTGTTTCTGTGTGAACAGGAGGGGCTCACAAATGCTCTGTGTTTTCACAAGGACAGAGCTTTCCTGGCACTGTCCTACACAGTGCTGGTACATTTCCAGAAGAAATATCTGATGTGGAAGAGAAACTTCAGGTGTTTTTTAGTTTTCCCAGAGATGTATGAGTGGAAGGTGGATGAAGTGAGGAGAGGATTTTTAGGGAGTGGATCATAAGCAGTTCCCTGCCTGGAAGAGGAGTTGTTCTAATTTAAGAAGAGAGAATTATTTGCCTGCAGAAAGGCCTGGGGTGTGGTCTGCTGAGATTGCTGAGATAACTCAATCATTTTCGGTGTCTTTAGGGAAGGTTTGCCTGCTGGGCTTGGTCCTGGAGACAAACTTATCCCATTGCCCAGTTTTTTAGTCTCTTCTTCCAAAAGTTTTCAGGGAAAATTTTTGATGTGTTTTTCTGTGTTTTAATTTTTGTTTGGATTACCTTTTTGTTTGGGGTTTTGTTTTGTTTTGTTTTTTGTCATCGTTGTTGTTGGTTTGGTGTTTTTTTGGCAGAAAAATTGCCAATTCAACAACATTTCGGGCTGTGACTCTTCATTTAAGGGGAGGATGAGTGAAATAAGCGTTGTTGTGTAAAAAGGAAAGTTTATTTTGCTTGGGAATTTCAGTAAGTTTGTTCATCAGTGGTCACTTGACAGCCCCACCCCTCAGTAAATGCAACACTAATTGTTGGAAAGGGAGTTCTAACTCAAAAAACCCCAAACAACTGGTGTAGGTACATGTTTTGTTTCATGTCAGAAGCATTTATTAGGGAGTAAACAAAACTTTTGCTTTGAAAATCAGCCTGTGCTTACTAAAACAAAACAAGAATTCTGAGTAGAGATTCTGTTTGAGGTAGTGAGAAGTAGGAATCTCCTGGAGCTCTTGGTGGTTTTATTCAGTTGAAAGGTGAGAATTTGGCTGCAGCCACAGAGGTTGTGCACTGCAGCACCAAGAAGGAGCATTTGCTGAGCAGTGATTTTCGGTGGTTTTGGGGGTTCCCAGGATATCCCAGGCTGTGTGTGAGGTTCTGCCTGTGTGCTCAGGGCTGGGGTGGGATCATTCCCATGTCCAGGAGCTGTTTCCATGCTGTAATCCAAGAGGAGCTACTGTAGGTTAAATATAGAGCCCCTTGTGCTGCCACCAACTCACATTTGCATCAGTCATTAGCTCAGAGCGCTGCAATTCCAAACCTCACTGCTGAGGCTGCTCCTGCAGCTGAGTTCTGCTGGAACTCACTGGGACACTGCTGGGACACAGATTCCTGGGGAATTGGGAGCTGCTGCTCAAATCCAGCCTGGAAAATGGGCTTGGAGAACACACAGGAGCAGCTGGGAAACCTCCAGGGTTGGATTTTCCGGTGGATTCTCCTAATCTGCAGCTGCTAATTTGTAATTAGTGAAAAGGGCCAAGGGGATGCAAAGGGTTACAGAGTGTATTGTTGTGCTGTTGGCTCTTCCCTCTCAGGCTGCCAGGGGAATTTGGCACTGAGTCCCTGTGTACTGAGCTTCCCAAGTCACTGGTTGGCTGGCATCGTGTTAACCCAACTTCTACCATGATAAATGAGCTGAGATTTGATTCAGGAGCAATGATTTCTGTGCAGGAACAATGATTTTTGTGAAGGAGCACTGATTTCTGTGCAGGAGCAATGATTTCTCTACAGCAGCAATGATTTCTCTACAGCAGCAATGATTTCTGTGCAGGAGCAGTGATTTCTGTAGAGGAGCACTGATTTCTGTGCAGCAGCAATGATTTCTCTGCAGGAGCAATGATTTCTCTACAGCAGCAATGATTTCTATGGAGGGGCAATGATTTCTCTATAGCAGCAATGATTTCTATGCAGGGGCAATGATTTCTCTACAGCAGCACTGATTTCTGTAGAGGAGCAATAATTTCTGTACAGGAGCAGTGATTTCTGTGCAGGAGCAGTGATTTCTGTGCAGGAGCAATGATTTCTCTACAGGAGCAATGATTTCTGTGCAGGAGCAATGATTTCTGTAAGGAGCAATAATTTCTGTACAGCCAAGTGTCTCTGGAGCAAGCTGAGCAACAGCACAGAGGAATTGTGAGTAGTTCAGCCAAATTGCTGTTCCTGATTCCAGCAGAGATTTGGATCCTCATCTCCAGGATCCTCATCTCACCTCTTACTGACAGAGGCCACAAAGATGACAAGGATACAGGTTTTATTTGAACAAGCTTTACTGCAATAAAATCTTGTTGGAGAGATGAACTTGGGAGTGGCTGCAAGATGATGAGAGGGGAGCAATGGCTTTGCCTCTCTCCTAATTCAGGAGTCAGGGCCAGGGCAATCCAAGCCATTGGACTTTAGGTTGAAAAGAAACAAAAAGAATCTGTGAAGAAAAGGTACTTTAAAAAGTACATAATTTAAAGCCTGGAGTCCATGACCAGGGGATGTTGGGGCTGAAGGATTTAGGGCTGGGCAGGATCCCCATGGGACATCCCCACACGCCATGTGGGTGTTTTAGGGGCTCCTTATTCCCCTCCATTGGCAGGACTTTATCTCAGCCTTGTGTGTGGAGACTTCCTCAGACATCGAAATAAGCAGTAGCTTTTGGTCTTGTAACTTATTTCAGCATTGAATATTGATTCCTTATTTCTGCCTGTCATCAGAGCCTTTTTAAAGATTTTCCTCTATATTAATTTGCCATGATAGGCTTTAAAAAACAGGAGAAAAACCACCTTGGATTTCACACACTTATAGACAGGACACAGAGGGTGTTTCACTGATACTAAAGAATGATCCAAAGACAGGTTGTTATTTTTATTTTCCATGGAGCCAGGGTTGTCTTCTGGTGCTTTTGCAGGTGGAATTTGCAGCTGACTCCAGGCTGCTGGGGATGCCCACATTCACCTGGTGACGAGAGAAATGCTTTTCCCTTCAGTCACTGGTTTGCCTTTAATGACAGTTCTGGTGCAGTGTGGAAGCTGAAATCCCTCATCCACACACACAAACCCAGCTTTCTTTTCATTGCAGTGAATGATGGGCTCATTGTGTGAAAACAGCTACAGGGATTTATCAGGAGTAGCTGGAAATTAGTCTTTTGAAAGAGCAGTTGTAAATAAATGATTCTGAGATAACTGCAGTGTAATTTGCTTTTCCTTCATTTTCTCCTCTGAAAATGTTGCTTCCTGCCTTGATTCCCTGCATTTTTGCTGATATCAACCATGTCTTTTCAGTAAAATAAACTTTTCTTGGGCTTCAACAATGCTTAGGGAATATTGCAGTGTTAGATGGAGTTGGATTAATCTGATATTTGGAACAGTTGTTTCTTGGTGCATGTGGATGAGTATCTGAAGGAATCCTAGGCTGAAGAGAGATGCTGGTTGGTCTTGGGTAGCTGTTGATAATTGCTGCCCTGAGATGTGCAGGATGTCTCTGTTTCAGCCTGCACAGCTGAAGAACGAATCTGGACTCTTCACTTTTCACTCTTGAGGTTGTTTATTAATTCTTATCTATAAAATTTTTTTTCTGCCCAGCCGAGATCTGCTCAGCAGGGCAGCCACAGGCACTTTGTGTTGTCCTTTTATACTACAAACTACACACACATATTTATACTTAATTCCCAATACCCATCACCTGTGTTAGACAGTGCACTTCTACTCTAAACAAATCCCAAAGTGCCAACATCACTGCAGAAAATGGAGAACAAGAAGAAGAAAGGCTGGACATGCCCAAGTCCCTCCATCTTGTCCCCACAACCCCCATACCAATAAAATCTACATTTTCACCCTGTGGTCATTTTATTATTACACTATTCAAACCTCTGTGACTTTCAGGTCCTCATACAGAGCTGCCAAATTTCTTCAGGGGTCAAAATCAAATCCTCAGGTTTGGGGATTTGAGCCAGGGTCTCTGAGCCCCCTGGTGGGGTCCTGGCAACTCTGGATACCCGGAGGGATGCACTGAGTTCCGGCAAACCTGGCAGGTGTGGGGTGTTGGGGGGATTCCCCTGGCAAGGTGCACTCCTGCCAGGGCTGATGGAAGGCTGGGTGTCTCAGGGCAGCCTGGAAGCACACCAACCCCTTGTCCCTGTTTGCCCCCTGCAGAAGCAAGCCTGCCAACGGGGATTACCGCAAGGAGCACCGCGAGCGGAGCCGCAGCCCCATCGAGCGGGCGGCTGCCCCCACCGTGAGCCTGCACGCCAACCACATGTACACCTCCATCCCCAGCCTGAGCATGGAGCAGCCCCTAGCACTGACCAAAAACAGCCTGGATGCAGCCAGGACAGTGGGCATCTCCCCCAGCCTGAGCAGCGTGGAGCGGCAGCAGGTACGGGGCTGGCACCGGGGCTGGCACTGGGATCGGCCATGGGCCATGGGGAGGGCTCTGGGGACAGCCACAGCCTGTCAGGTACAGCCAGAGGAGAGGCTGCTCCTCGGGCAGCACGGGGTTAAAAATGCACCCTGAATGTCACAGGGTCATCATGGTATTCCTTGTGACATTCCCAAGCTTGGGAATGCAGGAGTTGTAGTTGGGAATATTTGGGAATGCAGGAGTTGTAGTTGGGAATGCATGAGTTGTATTTAGGAATGCATAGGTTTTATTTGAGAATGCAGAAATTGTATTTGGGAATGGGTGAGTTTTTATTTGGAATGCATGTGTTGTATTTGGGAATGCAGGAGTTGTATTTGGGAATATTTGGGAATGCAGGAGTTGTATTTGGGAATGCGTGAATTTTATGTGGAAATATTAAGGAATCCATGAGTTTTATTTGGGCATGCATGCATTGTATTTGGGAATGTGTGCGAGTTTTTATTTGGGAATGCAGGAGTTGTATTTGGGAATGCAGGAGTTTTATTTGGGAATGCATGAATCATATTTAGGAATGTGTGAGTTTTTATTGGGAATGCATGCGTTGTATTTAGGAATGCATGAATTTTATTTGGGAATGCATAGGTTTTATTAGGGAATATTTGGGAATGTGTGAGTTTTTATTTGGGAATGCATGCATTGTATTTGGGAATACATGAGTTGTATTTGGGAGTGCATGAGTTGTATTTAGGAATGCATGGATTTTATTTGGGAATGCATAGGTTTTATTTGGGAATGCAGGAGTTGTATTTGGGAATATTTGGGAATGCATGAGTTGTGTTTAGGAATGCATAAGTTTTATTTGAGAATGCAGAAATTGTATTTGGGAATGCATTCAATTGTATTTGGGAATGGGTGAGTTTTTATTTGGAATGCATGTGTTGTATTTGGGAATGCAGGAGTTGTATTTGGTAATATTTGGGAATGCAGGAGTTGTATTTGGGAATGTACGACTTGTATTTGGGAATACATGAGTTGTATTTGGGAATGGGTGAGTTTTAATTTGGGTTGCATGTGTTGTATTTAGGAATGCGTAGGTTTTATTTGGGAATGCATGAATTGTATTTGGAAATATTTGGGAATGTGTGATTTTTATTTAGGAATGCAGGAGTTGTATTTAGGAATGCATGAATTTTATTTGGGAATGCATGTGTTTTATTTGGGAATATTTGGGAATACAGGAGTGGTATTTGGGAATGTGTGAGTTTGTATTTGGGAATGTGTGATTTTGTATTTGGGAATGTGTGAGTTTGTATTTGGGAATGGGTGAGTTTTGATTTGGATTGCATGTGTTGTATTTAGGAATGCATAGGTTTTATTTGGGAATGCAGGAGTTGTATTTGGGAATGCATGCATTGTATTTGGGAATGCATGCATTGTATTTGGAAATATTTGGGAATGTGTGATTTTTATTTGGGAATGTGTGATTTTTATTTAGGAATGCAAGAGTTTTATTTGGGAATGCATGACTCGTATTTGGGAATGTGTGAGTTTTTATTTGGAATGCATGTGTTGTATTTAGGAATGCATAGGTTTTATTTGGGAATGCATTAATTTTATTTGGGAATCCAGGAGCTGTATTTGGGAATGCATGAATTTTATTTGGAAATATTTGGGAATGTGTGAGTTTTTATTTGGGAATGCCTGTGTTGTACTTAGGAATGCATGAATTTTATTTGAAATTGCATAGGTTTTATTTAGGAATGCAGGAGCTGTATTTGGGAATGCATGCATTGTATTTGGGAATGGGTGAGCTTTTATTTGGGAATGCATGTGTTGTATTTGGGAATGCATGTGTTTTATTTGGAAATATTTGGGAATCCATGAGTTTTATTTGGGAATGCTTGCATTGTATTTGGGAATGCATGAATTGTGTTTGGGAATGCATGAATTTTATTTGGGAATGCACAAATTTTATTTGGGAGTGCATGAGTTGTATTTAGGAATGTATGTATTTTATTTGGGAATGCAGGAGTTTTATTTGGGAATGTATGAGTTGTATTTGGGACTGCATGTATTTTATTTGAGAATTCAGTTGTTTTATTTTGGAATGCAGGAGTTGTATTTGGGAATGCATGAGTTTGTATTTAGGAATGCACAAATTTTTTTGGGAATGCACGAATTTTATTTGGGAATGTATGAGTTTTATTTGGGAATATTTGGGAACACATGAGTTTGTATTTGAGAATGCACAAATTGTTATTGGGAATGCCTGAGTTTTTATTAGGGAATAGCTGTGTTTTCACTGGGAATTCAGAGTGTGGCTGGCTCAGGGAGGCCCAGCACCTGCCTGGGGACATCCCCTGAGCCCCTCCTGTGACCCCTGTGTGCTCCCCTGCCCTGTCCCAGCTCTCCCCACCCTCAGGAACAGGCACAACACCAAAGGGAGGATTTGACTCTGGGGGATCTTAGTGGTTTTAGCCAGCCAGAAGCATTTGCTGTGTTGTTCAGAGCAGTGTTGTACCACTCATTCCCTTCTCCTAAAGCATTTGCTGTGTTGTTCAGAGCAGTGTTGTACCACTCATTCCCTTCTCCTAAAGCCAAGTCATTTATTTTATGCTGATTTCAGGTTCAGGTTTTTTTGTTGGTATTCTTAGCTTTGCCATGTTGCACATGGCATTTGTTTTGCTGCAGCAGTGCAAAGCTGAGCCGTTTCTGTAGGCAGGAGCAGTTTCCTCATGTGCCAGACTCACTTTTATCCCTCCTGCAAGTGGAAACAAAGCAGAGAATTGAGCTGTGATGAGCTGCAGCACTGGGAAATTAAACTGGCCCCTGTACCCCAGCTCTGCCTTCCCTGGATCCCTCTCTGCTCTATTTTGAACCAGATTACAATCATTTTTTTGGGAAAACAGGATGTTGGGGCAAGGCCTTGCTAAGAGCACAGAGTAGAAATCATATAAAATAAAAAGTGTACTGAAAAAAAGAAATCCTAGCTTGATAATTCCTTGTTTTGGGGATTTTTTTAACCTTAACATGTTGAATGATATTTAATTTCTAATAAAACAGGTAGGAGAAGAATACGTTATTTGCAGCAAGACAGGGTTATTCAGTTGATATAGTTAGTGATTATTACTAAATTCTCAGTTTATCCAAATATTTTTATAAAAGTTTCTGTATTCTATGCACACAGAACCATAGCAGAGGTTAAGGAAACCTTTATTGGGCTCTTCAAGGTGTTGGCATGTGTATTTCTGATATTATTACCTGTCTCTCTGCTCCCCACCTCCTGCGTGTCCAAAATACTCTTCTGAGGAGAATTAAATTCATGCCTTTCTCAAAAACCACTTCTGAGAGGCACAGAATCCTCGCCCCTACAGAAAATAATTACTCCCACATGTGAACTGTTTACAGAAAAATCAAATCATTCTTCTGTTTTGCTTTATTTACTTTTTTTCTACTTTGCTGCCAATGCAGTAAGAGGTAAAAAACCTCATTGCTGTTTTGGCCTGGCAAAAATGATGTTAAACTTCCCTGGAAAGCTCAGCTCTTCTACTGTACTGTTCTTGCTCTTGCTCTGCCTAAAGTACCACCAAAGAAGGGAAATTTCTTCCTTTCTCACTGACTTTTTATGGGAGTAGGTGATTTTTTGTGGGTAAAATTTTCAAGGAATTAAATTCCATCAGTTCTGTTAATTTTTTGAACACTTACTACTTAATTTGCATTGAGTATAATGGACTCCTTGCGTCATCAAATATATAGAATTTATTCCAATACCTGTTTTATTTCCCTTCAGCCACCTGGAGAAACTGGGACATTTCTTTTCCCAGGGCTTTGTGTAAATGTCTATAGTAAACAACTCTGAAAAGAGAATTTTATGGTTTCACTTAAAGTACAGATGGAGGAGTTCTAATGTAATGCAGCTGTGAATAGACATTTTGGGGAATTTGCATGTGCTGAGAATGACAGTGAAGTTAATTAAGTATTAAGTATTAATTAATTCACCTGCTGGAAAGGCAGTGAGTTCCAACAAGAAAGGATTTGTGGTCCAGACAGGCTCAGAGTTCTTCATATTTATTGTGCATCCCATGGGATTAGGATGCACTGTGCAATAGAGGTAGGGCTGGGAAAACTCAACTTCTGAATAAAAATTATAACACCCAGACAACAAAAACCTGGAAAATCTGCAAACCCCTTCTGTGTGTGGCCACAGAATGAAACAAACATTTCATGTGTTGATATGGAACTCAGTGCAGGTGACACAAACACTGTAAAATCATGTCAGAGTTTTGCTTTCACGCTGCCATTTTTCTGTTCACTGAAATAACAAGAACCTCAATGGAAATGCAATGGATGTTTTTAAAATTGATTTTTAATTTTTAATCAAAGAAACAGCTGAATATTTGTGAGTTTAATATTAATTTGATAGTTTATGGGTTTAATTGCCTTAGCTGTGAAGTTGCAGCAATCACTGTAAAATTATTTTTAAGATTTACTTTTACACTGCCCTTTTTCTGTTCACTTACATAAGAACTGTTGTGGAAATGTGATATGGATTTTTATTTTAATCCAAGAAACAGGTGAATATTTGGGGGTTAATATGAATTGTATAGTTTATGGGTTTAATTGCTGTGAAGTTGCAACAATCAGTGTAAAATTTTTAAGATTTACTTTCACACTGCCCTTTTTCTGTTCACTTACATAGGAACTTGTGGAACTGTGATATGGATTTTTATTTTTAATGAAAGAAACAGCTGAATATTTGGGGGTTTAATATGAATTGGATAGTTTATGGGTTTAATTGCTGTGGCTGTGAAGTTGCAACAATCAGTGTAAGATTATTTTTAAGATTTACTTTCACATTTCCCTTTTTCTGTAACTTACATAAGAACCATTGTGGAAATGTGATGTGGATTTTTATTTTTAATCCAAGAAACAGCTGAATATTTAGGGGTTTAATGTGAATTGGATAGTTTATGGGTTTAATATGAATTGGATAGTTTATGGGTTTATTTGCTGTGAAATTGCAACAATCAGTGTAAAATTATTTTTAAGGTTTACCTTCACACTGCCCTTTTTCTGTTCACATACATAAGAGCTGTTTTGGAAGTGTGATGTAGATTTTTATTTTTAATCAAAGAAGCAGCTGAATATTTGGGGGTTTAATATGAATTGGATGATTTATAGGTTTAATATGAATTAGATAGCTTATGGGTTTAATTACTGTGAAGTTACAACAATCAGTGTAAAATTATTTTTAAGTTTTACTTTCTCACTTTTCCTTTCTCCTTTTTCTCTTCATGTACATAAGAACCACTGTGGAAATGTGATGTGGATTTTTATTTTTAATCCAAGAAACAGCTGAATATTTAGGGGTTTAATATGAATTGGATAGTTTATGGGTTTATTTGCTGTGAAATTGCAATAATCAGTGTAAATTGTTTTTAAGATTTACCTTCACACTGCCCTTTTTCTGTTCACTTACATAGGAACGGTTGTGGAACTGTGATATGGATTTTTATTTTTAATGAAAGAAACAGCTGAATATTTGGGGGTTTCATATGAATTTGATAGTTTATGGGTTTAATTGCTGTGGCTGTGAAGTTGCAGCAATCACTGTAAAATTATTTTCTTAAGAATTATTTTTTAAGATTTGCTTTCACACTGCCCTTTTTATGTTCACGTACATAAGAACCATTGTGGAAATATGATGTGAATTTTCATTTTTAGTCCAAGAAACAGCTGAATATTTAGGGGTTTAATATGAATTGGATAGTTTATGAATTTAATATGAATTGGATAGTTTATGGATTTAATTGCCATGGCTGTGAAGTTGCAACAATCAGTGTAAAATTGTTTTTAAGATTTACCTTCACACTGCCTTTTTCTGTTCACTTATATAAGAACTGTTGTGGAAGTGTGATGTGGATTTTCATTTTTAATCAAAGAAACAGCTGAAAATTTGATTTTTATTTTTAATCAAAGAAGCAGCTGGATATTTGGGGGGTTTAATATGAATTAGATAGCTTATGGGTTTAATTACTGTGAAGTTACAATAATCAGTGTAAAACTATTTTTAAGTTTTACCTTCTCACTTTTCCTTTCTCCTTTTTCTGTTCATGTGCATAAGAACCACTGTGGAAATGTGATGGGGATTTTTATTTTTAATCAGAGAAACAGCTGAATATTTAGGAGTTTAATATGAATTAGATAGTTTATGGATTTATTTGCTGTCAAATTGCAACAATCAGTGTAAAATTTTTAAGATTTACTTCCTCACTGCCCTTTTTATGTTCACGTACCTAAGAACTGTTATGGAAATGTGATGTGGATTTTTATTTTTAATCCAAGAAACAGCTGAATATTTAGGGGTTTAATATGAATTAGATAGCTTATGGGTTTAATTGCTGTGAAGTTGCAGCAATCAGTGTAAAATTATATTTAAGGTTTACCTTCACGTTGCTCTTTTTCTGTTCACTTACATAAGAACCGCTGTGGAAATATGATGTGGATTTTCATTTTTAATCCAAGAAACAGATGAATATTTAGAGGTTTAATATGAATTGGATAGCTTATGGTTTTAATTGCTGTGAGATTGCAACAATTATTTTTAAGATTTACCTTCACACTGTCCATTTTCTGTTCACGTACATAAGAACCGCTGTGGAAATATGATGTGGATTTTCATTTTTAATCCAAGAAACAGCAGAATAGTTGGTGGTTAATGTGCAGAGAGTTGAATCGCTGTGCTGAGTGTGCCCCTGTGCTTGTGTCCCCCCAGAACCGTCCCTCTGTGATCACCTGTGCCTCTGCCAACAACCGCAACTGCAACCTGTCCCACTGCCCCATCGCCCACAGCGCCTGCTCCGGGGCTGCCTACAGGAGACCCTCCAGCTGTAAGTGCCTGCCCGGGCTTGGAAGGGACAGGGGGCTGCTGAGGAGGGCAGGAGCCTCCCCTGAAATGGGAAATGTCAACCCCTTCCCTCCGAATTATCGTAGTTTTGAAATTAAAGGGCTCTCAGGCAGAGATATGGGAGTAGGAGTAACAGTTGTCAACTAGGGAAATGAAAATAAAGTGCAGTGATACAAACCAGCAGTGCCAGAGTCAGAATAGGAACTGACTCTGTGTGTCAGGGAGGTGTCCCAGCCCCATGCCATGGGGGCTCAGCCCTCCTGCAGTGCCAGCTGTGGCTTTGGTGGAGCAGGGATCTGTGGTTCTGCTTCTCCAGGGATCCTGCACAAGGGGGAACTTTTCCGCTGAAGGTCCCAGGAGAGCTGCTCCACTGGGCATGGGAACAGGGCTGGATGTTTCCAGAAAAGATCTGTTCCTGTCAGGTGAAGAGGTGTCTGTGCATGACACTTGGCTTTATTTTAGGATCAATCCCTCCAAATTATTATAGTTTTGAAATGAAGGGGCTCTCAGGCAGAGATATGGGAGTAGGAATAACAGTTCTTCATTAGGAAAGTTAAAATAAAAAGCAGTGATACAAACCAAACCCCTGCCAGAGTCAGACCGTGCCCTGTCCCCTGTGTGTCAGGGCGGTGTCCCAGCCCCATCCCAGGGGGGCTCAGCCCTCCTGCAGTGCCAGCTGTGGCTCTGCTGCAGCAGGGATCCTGCACAAGGGGGGAGTTTTCCTCTGCAGCTCCAGGGCTGCTGCAGATGGGCCTGGGCTCCCTCTGGCAATGCAGGGCAGCAGAAAGCTGCTCCTCTGGGAATGCAGGGGGCAAAGGCTGCTGGGGTGCTCCTAATCTCTGATTCTATCTGGTTTGGAATGCTTGGCTCCTCCCCTGGGCGGAGCTTCTCCCCATGGGATGATGGAATTTCATCAGCCCCGCAGGGACACTCACTGGCCCATTAACAGAAAATGTCTCCTGGAAGGAGGATGGGTTTGTGGGAGAGGTAAAGAAAACTGCCCAGTGAACAGAACTGCCCCATCTCCAAGAGCTGGCAATAGAACACACACCCCCAGCACACCTTGCACTGCACCCCAAGGCAGTGCCACCCTCCAGCCTGCCCTCACTGGGGTCCCAGCAGAGCAGAGTGGTCCCCACTGTGCCCACATTGACAGGGAGAAAAGGAGGTGAAATGATGGACACCCCTTTGTTTGCTCCTGTGCCACAGCTGGAGGTACTGCTGCAGAACTAGGGAGGGAGAGGTGTTCTTTCTTCTTGCATGGAAAAGCTTATTTAAAAAAAAAACAACCAAGCACCCCACACAGACAAATTAGTCATTATGTTTATTTTAATCCAGCTGACAAACAGCAGCCAGGGCCAGCAGATCCCCCCACGCTGTTTTTTTAGGAGCTGTATTTTCCCCTGCTCTCTCAATGGCCAGGAGACTCTTGGGATTCAGCTGCACTCACAGAAATCTTTCCTGCAGCCACAAATTCCCTCCCAAAGCCTGGGCCCTGCACCCTGCTCTGCATGGAGAAAACCTTTGGAGGGCAGTTGCTACAGCAACCCAAGCAGGGAGCTTTAGCTTTGTGCCTTGATGAAATCTGCTCAGGCAGCACTGGCTGGGAGAGCTGGGCTGTTCCTGCTCCCTCTCACTGCACACACAGCACAGGGGACCTCAGCCCTTCCCCTGAAAGTCCTTTACCTGCTGGGCACAGCTTCAACTTGCAGGGCAGGATGTGTCCATGGAACAATACCAGCCTGATGGAGGCAGCAACCTAAAGCCCACAGCAGGGTAATTATTAGTATTTTTTATAAATAGTCCTTTTTTTATTTTTACAAAGATCAGTACACTGTTAACAACTCGAAGTGGGAGCTGAAGGAGCCCCTTAGACTCTTGGAGAAATCAATGATTGGGGATCTCAGATTTTATAAGTTTTCTCACAAACTGGTGCTACTGGTCCCAGGAGAGCTGCTCCAGTGGGCATGGGAACAGGGCTGGGTGTTTCCAGAAAAGATCTGTTCCTATCAGGTGAAGAGGTGTCTGTGCATGACACTTGGGTTTATTTTTAGGATCAATCAAGCTGGAAGGCTGTGCCATGGATCCCAACAGTTCCATGTATTTTTGGAAAGACAGTTCTTATTAAGACACACAAATACTTATTCTAAACTGTTAAACTGCAGTGCTCTTATATTTAGTCTGAGGAATTACTACAGTTTTTGGTCAAAACCTGCCTTTTAAGGCTTTTGTAACAGTCTTACAGCAGTTACTGCAGTGCTCCTGATTCATTTAGCTTTGACTGCTCCCAGCACAAGTGTGTGGAGTGAGATGAAAGCCTGAGCCCAGCTTTTGGCATGCTGCAGTTTAGGATGGGCTCTCCTCACACCTGACTGCTATCAGCAGGCTTGGGAGCTGATTTTAAACAACTCTTTACATCATTAACTCCATTTAAGCCTAAATATAAATTCTGTGTGATTGTTTTGGGAGAAGGTTTCCATAGAACTGGAGCTGGAGCTGTTAGTTGCCTGAGGGAGAAATACAATTACATATAAATGCTCACAGAAACATAAAAGTATTTAATTTAATTGGGTTTTTTTCATTTTAACTCTTTCCTTCCCACCTCATTGCCCACTCCTAGGTCTGTAAGGGTGTGAGGAAGGTCATCATGGGGATGACCCCCTAGTGATGGGGACTTGTAGTGACAGGGCATTAGGCTACAGGGGAGATGCTTTGGGGGCTGGAGCCCCTCTGCTCTGGAGACAGCCTAGGAGAGATGGAGGGGTGTAGAAGGCCCTGGGGAGAGCTCAGACCCCTGCCAGTTCCTAAAAATGCTCCAGGAGAGCTGGGGAGGGACTGGGGACAAGGACCTGGGGTGGTGGGATAAGGGGCATGGCTTCCTATGGCCCAGAGAGCAGGATTGAATGGGAAATTGGGAAGGAATTGTTCCTGGGAGGGTGAGATGTGTAAAACTGGGGGGCTTAGGTGTTGGCTTGGTTTTCCCAACCAATATCAATTGGAAAACCAATATTGGTTTGGCTTTTCCTTCCAATATCCCATCCAACCCTGAGGGCAGGTTTGGATGGGATATGGGGAAGGAATTGTTCCTGGGAGGGTGGGCAGGGATGGGTGGGATATTGGGAAGGAATTGTTCCTGGGAGGGTGGGTAGGCCCTGAGGGCAGGGTTGGATGGGATATGGGGAAGGAATTGTTCCTGAGGGTGGGCAGGCCCTGAGGGGAGGGTTGGGTGGGATATTGGGCAGGAATTGTTCCTGAGGGTGTGCAGGCCCTGAGGGCAGGGTTGGATGGGATATGGGGAAGGAATTGTTCCTGAGGGTGGGCAGGCCCTGGCTGCTGTGGCTGCCCCTGGATCCCTGGCAGTGCCCAAGGCCGGGTTGGATGGGCTTGGAGCAGCCTGGGACAGTGGAAGGTGTGGTTAGGGGTGGTTGAGCATTAAGCTCCCTCCAAGCCAAGCCATTTCAAGGTATGTGAGAGAAAGCAGGACGAGGTGCAGTGTGCAGAGTCTGAAGTGCCCCTGTGTGCTGCTGTCCCCACAGCCACCACTGCGTGTGACCCGGTGGTGGAGGAGCACTTCCGCAGGAGCCTGGGCAAGAACTACAAGGAGCCGGAGCCGGTGGCAAACTCGGTGTCCATCACGGGCTCGGTGGATGACCACTTTGCCAAAGCCCTGGGGGACACGTGGCTGCAGATCAAGGCTGCCAAGGACGCCGTGGGCGGCAGCCCCGAGGCGCGGCGGGGCCGGGCGTCGCCCTCCTCACACATGGTCAGCCACAACCACTCGCCCTCCGTGGCCTCCTGAGGACAGAGCCCTTCCCGCCGGGAGCTGCGTGCTTTGACTGAGCTTGGAACAAGTGCTTCACTAGTGCTGGGGAGGGGAGGTTAGTTTGCAGCACACGGTTTTGTGTACTCACTTTGTTGGTTTTTTTTGTTGTTTTTGTAAAAGGGTGCCCTTAAAGATGATAGCAGGAACTATTTCATAAAGATTCATACGATGTAGCATCCTTTTCTTCCTGCCTCAATTACCAAAGAAACCTCTGATGCAAATCTGCTGCCCCTTAAAAAAATAATGCACGCTAATCCACAAAAGCCATTACACTTAGTTGGTTGACCCAAGTGCTTTTTTTGCTTTTCTTAGCTTTTCTCAAGACTAGAATTTGTCTGGTTTGCTTACATTGCTTTTTTTTTTTTTTTTTTTTTTTTCCCTCTGTGAAGTAATTTCGTATGTATATACTTGAAAAGAACTGTCATGTATGATTTGCACTATTGGAGGAGGACTGAAGTTGCACAGCAACTTTCTGGAAGAGGCTAAATATTTTGAGGGCAAACTGCTGAAAAAAGGGTTTAAGGATGACATTTCTATCAGTTTGATTTTTTCTTAGAGCAAAACAGCTTTGGAAGGGGAAGTCTCATACAGGTTATAGGTCTTTCTCTCTTTAGATTTCAGGTGCTTAGTGCTTGCAACTGGACTGCATAATTTACAGAACACGGGCATTTTTTCCTAAACACTGCAGTTTGTTAGAATAGAGCTGAGGTTGGAGGGTTCCATAGTGCTTAACGATGCATGTTTTATGAAAAATAGCTGGTATCTATTAATGTATAGACAGTAAGAATCATAATACTTATTAGCTTCTCTTCAGAATTAGTTTATTTTTGTCAGTAACAACCCTAGATATACTTACTGCTGGTACAGTTGTACTCTATGATATTTGTATTTGCTATTCACTTTAGTGGCAGCAGCAGCGAGGGCAGCTCAGGACAGGCCTCGTGCAGCACTGCTGCTTCACAGGGATCTGCTTCCCTACCCCAGTCTGTGTAATCCACCCTGAACTAGCTGCAGGAACTGCTACCCTTACACATCCTGGCTGGACAACAGATTGTTACAGTTTGTGAAAGATGATCTTTCCCTTTGTTTCTTTTATTTTGGTTGTTTTTTTTTTTTTTTAAAGCCTACCCATCAGCCTACGCCGAGTCGCAGCATACATTCCTCCAGTAGATTTTATACAGGTATTACTGCATTTATTATCATTTGCTATATTAATAGCTACTAACTAGAAATTAGGCAGTAGAGGCAGGCATAAAACCACAGCTGTGCTAGTGCTAAGAGCTTCTCTTTCTTCTTGTTAAGTGTAACTACTCTCCCCAGTACATTCCATCTTCCCAGGACAGTTGCAGCCAGGGCTTGGTTTTTATGCTGGGCTCCCTGAAGGGATGGGCTCAGTGTAGGAAGTGAGAACTGGTTGGAAGATGAACTCCACGTGATGTATTATGGACTATGTTACAGTATTGGGTCCATTGTGGTTTTTATTTTATGCTTTTTTTGGTTTGTTTTGTTTTTTTTTTTTTTTTTAAAGTTAAGCTATTTAATTTGGAAAAGGTGCAGGGTAGAAAGAGATCGGGAGATTGGCTCTTACTCTTGGTGAGAAGGTGGCTGCTCAATTTTCTGTAAAAAAATGAAAAAAAAAACCACAAAAAAACCCCAACCCAACACCTAAACCCCCAGTTTTACACATTTCACTACCATCTTACTGGGTAGTCAATGCTTCCTTGCTTTGGCATTCAGTACCCTACTCTCTGTAGGAAGATTGTTAAAAGAACACTTTTTTATATAGGTAACTTTAAGACCATCGTTACGCTGTGCGTAAAGAATGTACAGAGAAATTTGTAGGTATTTTTTGAGGAACAATTAATTTGTTAATGATATGTAGCTATTTAATTTTTCCCTTTTCCTTTATTGTAATCATTCTTTTTTTTTTTTTTTCTTTTTTTGTTCATTTGTTTGGAGAAAAAAGTTGATCTTTTTTTTTTTTGTTGTAGATTTGTCTGTAATACAGTAAAAAGTGCAGGAACACAGTTATTCTATGAGGACACTGCATTAGCATTAATAGCCACTCGTTTGTTATTGCTACAGGCTACTGAGCAGTATAACAGTCAATACTAATACTGTAGATGGACTCTGTGGAAAATGTGACTCCTCTATTTCTTTGTAAACACAAATAAGATAATGTTTTTTAAAGCTAATATTTTCAATAATAGCTGTTTTACAAGGTTACATTTACTTATCTGAGATAGGTAAATGGATTTGAGGGCAATAAAGTTTAATGTGCTACGTCCAGTAAAGCAAACACTGGGCACAACAATGTCACGAAAGCCAAAGGGTTGGGGGGAGGTGGAAGGACACTAAACTGAACTCACCATCATCTTCTTCACAGACCCAGGTTATCTACAGTTCAGTTTGAAAGATTCTCTCTGTGTTTGTAAATCTGTAATATACCATTCTTTTGTGGCCTTGTTTCACCTGGAAAAAAAAAAAAAAAGGTTTGGCAGGCCATCTTTTTTTTTTGTACTTAAAAGTAGCCTTAAAGAACAATAAAGTGCTCTTAAATCACAGGTGTGTTCCTAAGCCTCTGTATTGCCTGCTGAGACAGGATTTGGTGTGTGTGAGGCAGAATCAAACCTCTGGCCACATCCTGCCTTCATTCCAAGCACCCTTACCTTTTTTAGGACCAGAATAACCCCAAGGAAATCCTTTACAGCAATAAAAACCCTGCTGCTGCATTTCTGTTCCTGAAAAGACCAATTTTGTGGCATTTTGTTTGTCCCTCAACTTCTTCAGGGAATCCCTCTCTGGTGAAAGCAGCTGAATTTCAAATCTTGACACCCACCATGCTCTGGTCCAGGTGAGTGACATTCCAATGGCACTGGAGGTGGTTAATTCTCAAAAAGTGATTGTAATCACCTGGACAGGGACTGGTTTGGAAAACACCAGCTGCTGCTGCATTTCTGTTCCTGAAAAGACCAATTTTGTGGCATTTTTTTTGGTTCCTCCACTTCTTCAGAGAATCCCTCCCTGGTAAAAACAGCTGAATTTCAAATCTTGACATCCACTGTCCTCTGGTTCATCCACTGTCCTCTGGTCCAAGTGAGCATTCCAATGGCACTGGAGATTGTTAATTCTCAAAAAATGGTTGTAATTACCTAAGTTTGAGAAAGCCCTGTGAGCCAGGCAAGAAAGAGGGCTCCAAAATGAAAAAAAGCCCTAAAAGGAAGGAGACACAAAGTTCCTCTTGGCTCAGCAGGGTTTGGGAACACGCAGGCCTGGCTCAGCGTGAGGGAGATGCCATGAGAACACTTCAGGAGGGTTGGTGGAACACATCTGGAGCATTTCCCTGCTGAAGATCCATGAGAGGGTGTGGGAGACAGGCCAAGGACACCCCACAGCCCTCCAGGGGAAGGGAAAATGTCCCTGCACCGATGATTTGGGGGCTCCATGACACAGGCCAGGCTCAGGGCTGGCTCCCAGGTCAGTAACTCACAGCAAACTCCATTTCCTGCATGGAAAAAGGGTTTTTCCAACTGGCACCATGGAGGAACCACCCAGACACTCAGTATTTCTTCAAATGTCTCAGTGTTTGTAGTGGCGTCTTCTGGGAGCTGAATGAGAGGCACCTTTGCTGATTTCAACCCAGCCATTTCCATGTCAGAAATCAGAGCTGGCAGCACAGACACCCTCAGGGATGCCCAGCTCGGGCAGTGCCCTCTCCTGAGTGTGCTGTGGGTGCATTTCAGGCTGGGCTGGGTGTGAAAATCACCTGTGCAGGCAAATCCATCCAGTGCTGGTGTGCCCTGGAGGGGTGGCACAGGTGCCAGCCCTGTGTGACTGCCTGGGCCCCACAGCTGTGCCCAGTGACACTGAGTGCCCACAGTGAGCCCTGGGCTGCCCAGCTGGGCTGAGGGCACCTCAGGAGCCTGGCAGTGGCAATGGGGTGGCACTCAGTGGCCTGGCAGTGGCACTGAGGTGGCACTCAGGAACCTGGCAGTGGCACTGGGGTGGCACTTAGGAACCTGGCAGTGGCACTGAGGTGGCAGCAGGAACCTGGCAGTGGCACTGGGGTGGCACTCAGCAGCCTGGCAGTGGCACTGGGGTGGCACTCAGTGGCCTGGCAGTGGCACTGGGGTGGCACTCACTGGCCTGGCAGTGGCACTGGGGTGGCACTCAGGAGCCTGCCAGTGGCACTGGGGTGGCACTCACTGGCCTGGCAGTGGCACTGGGGTGGCACTCAGTGGCCTGGCAGTGGCACTGAGGTGGCACTCAGGAGCCTGGCAGTGGCACTGGGGTGGCACTCAGTGGCCTGGCAGTGGCACTGCTCAAACTCCCTGTCAATGGTGACTTCTCCAGTGTCCCAGCAGTGCCACCAGCTCCTGTTCTCAGTGTGCCACCCCCAGCAGCATTTCCAGTGCCACTTCCCGTGCCATTGGTGCTCTCCCCAGGGTGGCACCCTCAGCCTTGGCCCAGGGCTGCTCACACATCTTTAGATCCTTCTAGAAATTCCAAGCCCTCTGCCTGCTCCTGATCCCTGTCCCAGCCCCAGGTGTGCTCCCAGTCTCCAGCTCTGCTCCCTGGGCACACAGGGATTCCACAGCTGGATTACAAGGTAGGATAAAGCACATTTATCCCTGAACAGCTCTTGATAGACATTATATCCATTTAATAATTATATCCATGTAATTATATCCATTAATAATCGTTTTCACCTCTTTTGAAATGGGAATGTTCTGCCCCTCTCTGCAACAGCTGCCTCAAGTGCTTGCTTGGGTATAAGACAGCCAAGATAATTTAAATGCGGATTTTTAGGCTGCAGTGGGACCAGTGGCCAGCAGGAGCCCATTCCCAGCACATTCCCAGCTCCTGAGCTGCCCTTTATTACAACGACCTGACGAAGGTCTCCAGGGTGAGAGAAGGATAAGAATCTTGTTTGATGATCAGAAGGCTGGATTTATTGATATATGATATATAATGCATTATGACTATACTAAAAAGAATAAGAAGAGAAGTTGCAGAGGCTGCTAACCTAAGAATAGAATCGTAAAGAATCTATCACAAAGTTCTGTGTCCAGGGAATCTTTTCCTGAGCTTGCTCCTGTGATTGGCCCTTAATTGTACACATGGAACATGAACCAATCACAGGTACATCCTATTGCATTTCACAGCAGCTGATAATCATTGTTTACATTCTCTTTCTGGGGCCTCAGTTTCCCAGAAGATGAACAAGTCCCAAAGAAAGAATTTCTATGAAAAAATGTCTGCGACACCCCTTCCCTGTGGTGGGCACTGTCCAGAGAAGTGCCAGAGAAGGAATTCTCCTTTGGGAAGGGTCAGGAGCCCAGTTCAGCCAACAAGGGCCAGGTTCAGGGGTTTGGAGCTGCTGATTGCTGTGGCACTGGGACATCCACAGCCAGGGGTGTCCCTCTCTGCTGGGAATGCTGGCATGGGATCACTTACACCTGGACATTCCCACTGCAGTGCATTTGGAAAAACCAGAATTTCTTTTTCCACAGGCTCATTTCCCACCATGACAAAGCTGTTACTGCCTCCTCTCACTGCAGGCACACGAGATCCTCTCAGTCTTTCCTTGCTCAGCCAGTTTCACTGCTCACTGCTGCGCTGCTCAGCCAAATTTCACGTTTTGTTTTGCTAAGCAGCAGCTTTCTGAAATGCCAGGGAGAACATGTCTTCTCTCCGTCACAGGGAGGCACAAAGGCATCTGTCAACACCAAAGCCTGCTACATTTCATGGCCAAACTCTGCTTATCTCCCAAGTGTTCACTCACTTTGGGGAAATTCTCTGCACACAGAGCCCCTCTGAGAGCCTCTGCTCCTGGGGAATCAAAGTTACCTTTTTTAATGCAGGAAAACACAAAGCCCTCATCTCCAGCTTCCTGAAAACAGCAAAATACTCTGGGTTGTGTTAATGACATCTGGCTTGTGTGTTAAAATATAAACAATGTGTTTATATTTTATT